TCTCGCCTCTGCGGAGACACTCGCACCTGCGTGCCGCCGCCAGGAGAAGGGGCGGCGAGAGCGGCAGGGCCGGGCTCGGATGTGCCCTGGCATCGCCCCCCCCCCGCGGGGAGGGTCTGTGCTGCCTCAGGGACAGAGGAAGCGGATCTTGCAGGACCCCTTTGTTCGCTCGTTGAGCTCGCAAGAGACACAAGGGGCATGAAATCCCAGGGCAGCTGCGCCTGCCGGAGGGGTTGCAGGGAGAAGCAGCTGGGGGGGGGGGGGAGTTTGCTCTCTGCCCCTTTGCCACCTTCCCCTCGGTTCCCTGGGACTCCAGGGAATCCCAGCTCCCCTTGGCTTCGCCGGGGGCCTCGCGGCAGGGTTTCAAAGTGTGGCGCTGAGATTTTCTGGCCTTGGAACTGATGGCTGTTTCGGGGCACGTCTCAGCGGGCAGTCTGTCTTTTAACGCTTGCCGGGGCAGGAGAATTGCGGCGGAAGAAAGCAAAGGAAGCCCAGAGCCTGGAGTAGGCAGGCCCGGGCCTCTGGCGAGCCCAGGCCTTGCTGCTCGGTGCCGATTGTGCCCGGGGCTTGCTCCTCACCGTTGGGGTCCAAATGAGAGGGGAGCAAGAGGCAGAACAGCCCGCTGCTGCTGCTGCTGCTGCTGCTGGGGCTGAACTGTCTGCAGTGCCCGGGGGCCGGGCAGGACTTGGCCCCGATGCCTGCATTGCTCTGCAGCGGCCAGGGAGGGGTCCCAAAAGTCATCCCCCCGCCTGCTGTGCTGCACAGCAGGGGCTGGCTAGGCCGGTTCCCGGCCGAGGGAGCCCGGTGGAGGCCGTGCTGGGGCTGAGGGGCTGCTGCTCTCTGGGCCTCTCGGGGTTTGCCTTGGAATCCCAAAGCCTGGGCCTGCGCGGGGGAGCGGAGGCAAAGGTGACTGTCAATTGGTTTGTTGTGGAGTGTTTTGGGGCCGAGTTAATGCTCTTGGCTTGTTGTGTGTCAATTCCCAGCCTCGGTCAGGGCTTCCCGGGCAGCGTTGCTGCTGCTGCTGCCGCCGCCGCCGCCGGGAGAGAGAAGTGCTTTGGGAAGCCGGGATAAAACCAGCAACTCTGTGAATTGCTCAGCTTTTCCTAGGGAAGGGCAGGTTTTCGGGAAGAAAGGCCCGTCCTCGCGAAAGGCGCCGTGGGTCTCGCAAGGGGGGGGGCGCGGCTGCAGTGCCGTTCCCGGCCGTGTCCGCCAGGCGGCGACTGCGAGGCGGGGCCCGGCGGTCGGGGGCGGCGAGCGGCGGTGTTTGGTCAGTGCCGGGCTTCTCCGAGCTTCAGTCCGGACTCGGAGGCGTCCTAAGGATGCCTTGGGGTCGAGGGAGTGTGTTCCTGCGGAGTTCAGCAGGCGTTCGGTGAATTTGGGCTTCTGCAGGTGAATTCGGTCCAGTGGTGTGGTTTTGTTGGTTTCCGTCCTCGGAACAGTGGCCCAAAGGTTCTTTTTCCCCTCGCCGTGGGCGCTCCGAGGAGACCAAAGGTGCACAATTCTGCCGGTGACTTGGCTTGCGTTGCCAGTCCGATTGCCAGGATCGAACAGGGACGGAGGTTCCTCCCGGACAAAAGGGGCCAGCGCAGAAAGCTCGGGCTGCCCCGGCAGGGCCCGGGCTGGCCCCAGCACCTGGCAAAACCTCTTTGGGAAAAGGCAGGGAACAACTGCGGTTGTTCTGCCCTTTCTTTAGCCAGGGACTGGAACACAGACAAAATCGAGGTGCTCTTTGACCTATGCCGCAGGGTCCGAGCATTTTTCAGCCTTCCTTAGCAGGGCGTTCTCACCCTCTGAAAAGCTGAAAGGCTTTAACAGCTGGAGACACACCCGCAGCTGTGCTGATTCATGTAGTTTCTTTTAGGAAATGAAGGGGAAGTTTTCCTGTTGTGAGCCTAAATACCAAGTCTACTCTGCTTTTTCAATCAGGTGACGAAGCTTATGGAAAAAAAGACAGAATGCCTCGAGGTGAGTCCATTCTACCGAGTTCTGCTTTTCTGGCATCGGTTTGGGAAAATCACGGGAAACTCTAAAAAGCTTCTCTCCTTGTTTTCTAGTTGTTTTTTCAGCCTTGGTGTAAGTTTCACGTAGAAAAGGGCATAGAATTATTAGAACAGAGAAACACGACTTTCTCGGGAGAGATGGAGGAAAAGTCTGCTGATTGCAGTTCTGCTTTGCTTGTCTTCTGTTAGACTGTCATTTTCTCTCCCTTACTGTTCAAATAGGCAGCAATTAATTGCTCTGCTGAAGAGTTTGCTGTACTAAGTGTCTGTCAAATTGATGCCTTCAACTCAAGACAGCACCTGCTCCTTAGTTACAAAAAATTTCTCACAGGAAATTTTCAGGCGTGCCCATAAACCTCCTGGCTGTTTGTTTGGGAGAGCGGGCTTCTCTCGTCTGGGACAGAACAGTCGTGGCATTTGCTATGGAATGCTGGTGGCAATCTAGTCAGAAGAGGCCCCCGTGCTTCACTAATTTTCCCTTTTTGTTGTTCAGGGTGACTTCTTCCCAGGGATGTTCTTCTCGACCCCCCCGGGGCAAACGGAGGTGTCAGCGTCAGGAGCCATCCTAACTGAGGCCCTGGTAGGTGAGTGCTTTTTGTGGGACTGCACAGCGAAGCTGCCTGTGGGAATGAGCCGGCTATTGCTCGGGGTGCTCCTAACGACAGTGTCTTTTACTCCGTGTTCCCAGGGTGCCTCTTTCCCTTCGGTCGCCATGGACACTGTGCCGGACGCCTCTGGCAGGACTAACCCCGTGGCTTTTCTGTCCAGCGTGCTGTGCTGTGCTGTGTGTGCCTGCAGGTAAGAAAAGCGGGGAGTGCAGTCCCTCTGCTTTGGTTGCTGTGTCTCTTTGGGAGTTGTTTCGGAGGGCAATGAGAGAGCGATTTGGTTTGAAGGGGACCTTTAAAGGGCACCCTGTCTTCCGTGGGCAGGGGCACCTTCCACTCTCATCCCCGATTGGATGCTCTAAGTCCCATCCAGCCTGGCCTGGAACACTTGCAGGGATCCAGGGGCAGGCTCGGCTTCCCTGTGCGGTGTGCTCTAATAGCTCTCCACTGGCATGGTGAAAAATGTCAGCACGTTGTGTGCGACGATGCTAAGCGGGACCCGGGTGAAAATTGCCTTCTCTGAGGTGCAGAGGGAAATAATTCTCCTCTGAAGTCAAATGTATTGGGTTTGGCACGAGTCTCGTCCGCCTTATGTTTGAATTGCTCTCTGTTCTGGGCAGCTGTTTTAAACTAAACTTTTATTTTGTGCCTCCCCCCTCAGCATCCTGTCCGAGACAAAGCTACCTTTCCTCGTGGGAATGGACCGGCCGGGCTTTGGCAATCTGGCCCCTCGAAAGACTAAAGTGACCTCTTGCAGCAGGGGAAGACTTTCTGTCAAGGGGGGCCAGGAAGAACTGGAGTCTCTGGAGAAGAAGAGCTGGAAGCGTGCCCCCGAAAATCCCCAGCCCCGGCTGGTCAGCGGTCTGACTTGCACGGCCCGGTGGCCTTGGCCAGGAGCGGTCCTGCCGGCCTGTAATTTGAATTTCCTACCCGGGCTGTGATTTTAATTTCCACTGGGTGCTGGCAAAGCCCCCCTGGGGGTGAGCCCCAGTGCCTGGCAGGAGCGGAGCGGGCTTGCAGGGAGGCATTCACCTGGTCAGCGTCAGGAACCATCCTAACTGAGGCCTCGGTGAGTGCTTTTTGTATGACTGGACAGTGAAGCTGTGTGAATGACCTGGCTATTGCTCAGTGTACTCCTAATTAAGGTGTCTTTTACTCCGTGTTCCCAGGCTGCCTCTTTCCCTTTGGTGTGGGTGTGCCTCTTTCCCTTCCCGTGGGTGTGCCGGACGCCTCTGGCAGGACTAACCCTGTGGCTTTTATGTCCAACGTACTGTGTGCCTGCAGGTAAGAAAAGCTGGGAGTGCAGTCCCTCTGCTTTGGTTGCTGTGTCTCTTTGGGAGTTGTTTCGGAGGGCAATGAGAGAGCGATTTGGTTTGAAGGGGACCTTTAAAGGGCACCCTGTCTTCCGTGGGCAGGGGCACCTTCCACTCTCATCCCCGGCTGGATGCTCTAAGTCCCATCCAGCCTGGCCTGGAACACTTGCAGGGATCCAGGGGCAGGCTCGGCTTCCCTGTGCGGTGTGCTCTAATATCTCTCCACTGGCATCCTGAAAAATGTCGTCAGCGTGTTTTGTTGGACGCCGGTAAGCAGGACCCGGGTGAAGAGGACATTCTCTGAGGTGCTGGGAGAAGGAGGACTCGTGCGGGCACCTCCAGAGACAGCGGGAACGGGAGCGTGCTGCGGAGAAGGAAAATTCCAGGGGGTGGGTGCCGAGAAATTTGTCCTTCCCTCGCCCTGTGCTCTGCACTCAGCAATGGGTCAAGTGCAGAAGTTTCCTGGGGACCCTGGGAAATGATGCCGGGTCTGCTAAGAAAAGTGGGGCCAAAGGAGCAGGACCTGGGTCTGCGAGCGTGGGAGAAACAAGGGCCGGGTCATCCTCTGCCTCCGGGAGGGAGGGCAGCAGGAAAGGCCACGGACTAAAGCACTGAAGTGCCGTTCCCCAGGGAGCCCCTGCCCAGCACTGAACTTGCTTGTGCACTTGCTGTCCCTTTCCCAGCGGAGCCGAAGCGTCGGGTGCGGGTGCCGGGGGGATGGAGCTGCCAAGGGCAAACTGGGAGGGTGTTTGCGAGGGAAGGGGGTAGAAGGAGCTCTTGACGTGCTTTTTTTCCTTCTTCATCCCACAGAATTGCCACGGGAGGAAATACTTCAGAGGGGCTTCCCTCCGGATAAGCCCTGAATGTGCCAGGAGGTTTCAGCCGGGAGGAAAGGAGCTGTGGAAGAAAAGCAGCCTAAAAATAGCCAGCGGGGATCATCAGGTTTTCCAGCCAAGAAGCACAAGGAGAGAGATGAGGGAATGGGGTTCCAATTCCTAATGATTTGGTGGGTGCAGGAATGATTTGTGTGTGTTTTCCAGTGCCTTTTGATTCCTGAGATGGTTTTAAAATGATGGCTTTAGCAATCAACTAAATCGGAGATGTTGTTTCTGGGAGGAAATGGTGCCAAATAAATGCAGAGTTTTGGGTCAGGTTTTGGGATGATTTGGGTCAGGTTTTGGGGTCAGTTTGGGGTCACTGTTTGGGGTGATTGGGGTCAGTTTTGGGTCAGCTTTTGGGATGATTTGGGTCAGGTTTTGGGGTCAGTTTGGGGTCAGCTTTTGGGGTGATTTGGGTCGGTTTTGGGTCAATTTTTGGGGAGCACTGGGTGTTCCTGGGGGTTGTTGGGGAGCACTGGGTGTTTGCTGGGGAGCACTGGGAGAGAAAATGAAAAAAAAAGAGAATAAAAAATAAACGAAATAAAAAAATGAAACATAAAAAACAAAAGAAAATTAAAAAAAAAAAGGCAAAAAAACTAAAAAGGAAATTAAAATGAAAATGAAATAAAAGAGAAAAAAAAAAAGAAAAAGAAAAAAAAAAAGAAACCCCTTCTTGGGCACCCCGTTTCCTCTCCTCCCGCCCCCCGACCCGTAAATTGCGGGGTCATCACCCCTCAAATGTGAGACGGGGATCCCAAAATGCGGGTGGGGGAACCCCAGGGAGCCGAAAAAGCGGAGGGGGAGCCGCAGTAAGAAAGCGAAGCCGGGCGGTCGGGCGGCGGGGTGGGGGGGGGCAGGCAAGGTGGCGACGGCGGCGCGTGCGCAGTCGTTGGCAAGACGCCGGCGATCACGTGGTAAGTAAGGGCAGCCAGGAGCGGGACCGGCGACGCATGCGCAGTGGCTCTCGTGGCGGTGCAGCGCTCCCCGCTCGAGTTAAGGGCCGGTTCCGGCGGCAGGGCGGGACTGGCGGTCTCCCGTCTCTGGCGGGGTGTGTGTGGGGGGAATAACGTGAAGATTTTTTGGGGTGAAAGCGCAGAAATTAGCGAGGAGGGCCGGTAATTTGGGTAAACTCGGTCACCGGAAGTAGAGAGCGACCGGAAGTCCTCCAAGGCCCCGGCCCGGCAGTCCGCCAAGCCCACAGTAAAGATGGCGCCGCCAGGACCGGAACGACCACACTAAAGATGGCGGCCCCGGCCCGGAAGTTCGCCCCGACGCCACACTCAAGATGGCGCCGCCAGGACCGGAACTTAGCCGAGGCCACACTCAAGATGGCGGCGAGAGGCCCCCGCCCTGGCCTCAGAGAGGCGTCTATCCTGTTGCCTGACCTCCGCCGCGACCCGGACCCCCGCCCCGCGCCCGCAGCGCCGTCTCGCCGCGCCGCTTCCCGCTGTGGGGACGGGGCGGGGCGCTCGGCGGCGCCGGGCGCGGGCGGCAGGTTCGCGGGCGGCGGCAGGCACCGGCGCGGGCAGACCCCTCTCGCGCCGCGGCGCGCCGCGCACGCGCGACGATCCCACGCGGTCGCCGTCCTCCCGCCCCGTTCCGCCCCGCCCCGCCGCTCCGCTCCGCTCCGTCGGTCCGGTCCCGCCGTGCCCCGGAGATGCTGTCGGGGCTGCGCCGCCGCCTCCCCCCCCCCCGGAAGCGACCCACGGCGGCAGATCCGACGTCGGGCTCTGCAGGAGATCGTCGCCGGGGTAAGCGGGGGCCCGGCGGGGGGGCGGCGGCCGCTCTTCTGCCTCTCCCGCGGCCAGCGGGGCCTGCAGGCAGGGGAAGCGACGGGCAGCTTTCTCGCCTCTGCGGAGAAACTTGCACCTGCGTGCCGCCGCAGGGCCGGGTTCGGATGTGCCCTGGCACACGCACCACACCCCCCCGCGGGGAGGGTCTGCGCTGCCTCGGGGACCCTGTCTGTGCTGCCGGGAGAGAGAAATCCTTTGGGAAGCTGGGCTGGAAACAGCAACTCTGTGAACTGCTCAGCTTTTCCTAGGCAAGGGCAGGTTTTAGGGAAGAAAGGCCCGGACGCGCGAAAGGCGCCGCGGGTCTCGCCAAGGGGGGGGGGGGGGCGCGCGGCTGCAGTGCCGCTCCCGGCCGTGTCCGCCAGGCGGCGACTGTGAGGCAGGGCCCGGCGCTCGGGGGCGCCTGGCAAGCGACGCTTGCCCTGGGAAAGCGGCGGGCTTTGGCCACTGCCGGCCTTCCCCCGCAGTGCCCGGGCTGGCCCAGCGCCTGGCAAAACCTCGTAGGGAAAAGGCAAGCAACACCTGCGGTGGTTCTGCCCTTTCTTTAGCCAGGGACTGGAACACAGACAAAATCAAGGGGCTCTTTGACCTGGGCAGGCTCCCAGCATTTTTCAGCCTTCCTTAGCAGTGCATTCTCACCCTCTGAAAAGCTGAAAGGCTTTAACAGCTGGAGACGCGCCTGCAGCTGTGCAGATTAATGTCCTTTCTTTTAGGAAACGAAGGGGAAGTTTTCCTGTTGTGAGCCTAAATACCGAGTCTACTCTGCTTTTTCAATCAGGTGACGAAGCTTATGGAAAAAAAGACCAAAGGCCTCGAGGTGAGTCCATTCTACCCAGTTCTGCTTTTCTGGGATCGGGTTGGGAAAATCACGTGAAATTCTGAAAAGCTTCTCTCCGTGTTTTCTAGTTGTTTTTTCAGCCTTGGTGTAAGTTTCATGTAGAAAAGGGCATAGAATTGTTAGAACAGAGAAACACGACTTTCTCGGGAGAGATGGAAGAAAAGGCTGCTGATTCCAGTTCTGCTTTTCTTGTCTTCTGTTAGACTGTCATTTTCTCTCCCCTACTGTTCAAACAGGCAGCAATTAATTGCTCTGCTGAAGAGTTTGCTGTACTAAGTGTCTGTCAAATCGATGCCTTCAACTCAAGATAGCACCTGCTCCTTAGTTACAAAAAGCTCCTCACAGGAAATTTTCAGGCGTGCCCATAAACCTCCTGGCTGTTTGTTTGGGAGTACAGGGTTTTCTCGTCTGTAACAGAATAGTCGTGGCATTTGCTATGGAATGCTGGTGGCAATCTAGTCAGAAGAGGCCCCCGTGCTTCACTAATTTTGCCTTTTTGTTGTTCAGGGTGACTTCTTCCCAGGGATGTTCTTCTTGACCCCCCGGGGCAAACGGAGGTGTCAGCGTCAGGAGCCATCCTAACTGAGGCCCTGGTAGGTCAGTGCTTTTTGTGTGACCGGACGGTGAAGCTGTCTGTGGGAATGACCTGGCTAGTGCTCGGTGTGGTCCTAATTAAGGTGTCTTTTACTCCGTGTTCCCAGGCTCCCTCTTTCCCTTCGGTCGCCGTGGGTGTGCCGGACGCCTCTGGCAGGACTAACCCCGTGGTTTTTCTGTCCAACGTGCTGTGCTGTGCTGTGCTGTGCGTGCCTGCAGGTAAGAAAAGCGGGGAGTGCAGTCCCTCTGCTTTGCTCGCTGTGTCTCTTGGGGAGTGATTTTGGAGGGGAATCCCAGAGCGATTCGGTTTGAAGGGGACCATCAAAGGCCAGCCTGCCTTCCGTGGGCAGGGACACCTTCCGCTCTCATCCCCGGCTGGATGCTCCCAGTCCCGTCCAGCCTGGCCTGGAACACTTGCAGGGATGGGGCAGGCTCAGCTTCCCTGGGCAGTGTGCTCTAATATCTCTGCACTGGCATCCTGAAAAATGTCGTCAGCGTGTTTTGTTCAACGCTGGTAAGCAGGACCCGGGTGAAGAGGACATTCTGTTAGGTGCAGAGGGAAATAATTCTCCTTTGAAGCCAAATGGATTCAGATTTGCACGAGTCTTGTCTGCCTTATGTTTGAATTGCTTGCTATTCTAGGCAGTTGTTTTAAATTAAACTTTTATTTTGTGTCTCCCCCCCAGTATCCTGTCCAAGACAAAGCTACCTTTCCTCGTGGGAATGGACCGGCCGGGCTTTGGCAGTCTGGCCCCTCGAAAGCCTTAAGTGACCTCTTCCAACAGGGGAAGACTGAAGCAAGCGGTGCCAGACAGAACTGGAGTTTCTGGAGAATAAAAGCTGGAAGCGTGCCCCCGAAAATCCCCCCGGCTGGTCAGCGGTCTGACTTGCACGGACCGGTGGCCTTGGCCAGGAGCGGTCCTGCGGGAAGCGCCTTTGCCCAGGCTGTAATTTTAATTGCCATTGGATGCTTGGCAAAGCCCCCCTGGGTGAGCCCCAGTGCCTGGCAGGAGCGGAGCGGGCTTCCAGGGAGGTATTCACCTGGTCAGCGGCAGGAGCCATCCTACCTGAGGCCTCGGTGAGTGCTTTTTGTATGACTGGACAGTGAAGCTGTGGGAATGACCTGGCTAGTGCTCGGTGTGGTCCTAATTAAGGTGTCTTTTACTCCGTGTTCCCAGGCTCCCTGTTTCCCTTCGGTCGCCGTGGGTGTGCCGGACGCCTCTGGCAGGACTAACCCCGTGGCTTTTCTGTCCAACGTGCTGCTGTGTGTGCCTGCAGGTAAGAAAAGCTGGGAGTGCAGTCCCTCTGCTTTGCTTGCTGTGTCTCTTTGGGAGTTCTTTCGGAGGGCAATGAGAGAGCAATTTGGTTTGAAGGGGACCTTCAAAGGCCACCCTGTCTTCCGTGGGCAGGGGCACCTTCCACTCTCATCTCCGGTTGGATGCTCTAAGTCCCATCCAGCCTGGCCTGGAACACTTGCAGGGATCCAGGGGCAGGCTCAGCTTCCCTGTGCAGTGTGCTCTAATATCTCTCCACTGGCATCATGAAAAATGTCAGCGTGTTTTGTTGGACGCCGGTAAGCAGGACCCGGGTGAAGAGGACATTCTCTGAGGTGCTGGGAGAAGGAGGACTCGTGCGGCCACCTCCAGAGACAGCGGGAACGGGAGCATGCTGCGGAGAAGGAAAATTCCAGGGGGTGGGTGCCGAGAAATTTGTCCTTCCCTTGCCCTGTGCTCTGCACTTAGCAATGGGTCAAGTGCAGAAGTTTCCTGGGGACCCTGGGAAATGATGCCAGGTCTGCCAAGAAAAGTGGGGCCAAAGGAGCAGGACCTGGGTCTGCGAGCGTGGGAGAAACAAGGGCCGGGTCATCCTCTGCCTCCGGGAGGGAGGGCATCAGGAAAGGCCACGGACTAAAGCACTGAAGTGCCGTTCCCCAGGGAGCCCCTGCCCAGCACTGAACTTGCTTGTGCACTTGCTGTCCCTTTCCCAGCGGAGCCGAAGCGTCGGGTGCGGGTGCCGGGGGCATGGAGCTGCCAAGGACAAACGGGGAGGGTGTTTGCGAGGGAAGGGGGGAGAAGGAGCTCTTGACGTGCTTTTTTTCCTTCTTCATCCCACAGAATTGCCACGGGAGGAAATACTTCAGAGGGGCGTCCCTCCGGATAAGCCCTGAATGTGCCAGGAGGTTTCAGCCGGGAGGAAAGGAGCTGTGGAAGAAAAGCAGCCTAAAAATAGCCAGCGGGGATCATCAGGTTTTCCAGCCAAGAAGCACAAGGAGAGAGATGAGGGAATGGGGTTCCAATTCCTAATGATTTGGTGGGTGCAGGAATGATTTGTGTGTGTTTTCCAGTGCCTTTTGCTTCCCGAGATGGTTTTAAAATGATGGCTTTAGCAATCAACTAAATCGGAGATGTTGTTTCTGGGAGGAAATGGTGCCAAATAAATGCAGAGTTTTGGGTCAGGGTTTGGGATGATTTGGGTCAGGTTTTGGGGTCAGTTTGGGGTCACTGTTTGGGGTGATTGGGGTCAGTTTTGGGTCAGGTTTTGGGATGATTTGGGTCGGTTTTGGGTCAATTTTTGGGGAGCACTGGGTGTTCCTGGGGGTTGTTGGGGAGCACTGGGTGTTTACTGGGGAGCACTGGGAGAGAAGATGAAAAATAAAGAGAATAAAAAATAAACGAAATAAAAAAATGAAACATAAAAAACAAAAGAAAATTAAAAAAAAAAAAGGCAAAAAACCTAAAAAGGAAATTAAAATGAAAATGAAATAAAAGAGAAAAAAAAAAAAAAAGAAAAAAAAAAAAGAAACCCCTTCTTGGGCACCCCGTTTCCTCTCCTCCCGCCCCCCGACCCGTAAATTGCGGGGTCATCACCCCTCAAATGTGAGACGGGGATCCCAAAATGCGGGTGGGGGAACCCCAGGGAGCCGAAAAAGCGGAGGGGGAGCCGCAGTAAGAAAGCGAAGCCGGGCGGTCGGGCGGCGGGGTGGGGGGGGGGGCAGGCAAGGTGGCGACGGCGGCGCGTGCGCAGTCGTTGGCAAGACGCCGGCGATCACGTGGTAAGTAAGGGCAGCCAGGAGCGGGACCGGCGACGCATGCGCAGTGGCTCTCGTGACGGTGCAGCGCTCCCCGCTCGAGTTAAGGGCCGGTTCCGGCGGCAGGGCGGGACTGGCGGTCTCCCGTCTCTGGCGGGGTGTGTGTGGGGGGAATAACGTGAAGATTTTTTGGGGTGAAAGCGCAGAAATTAGCGAGGAGGGCCGGTAATTTGGGTAAACTCGGTCACCGGAAGGAGAGAGCGACCGGAAGTCCTCCAAGGCCCCGGCCCGGCAGTCCGCCAAGCCCACAGTAAAGATGGCGCCGCCAGGACCGGAACGACCACACTAAAGATGGCGGCCCCGGCCCGGAAGTTCGCCCCGACGCCACACTCAAGATGGCGCCGCCAGGACCGGAACTCAGCCGAGGCCACACTCAAGATGGCGGCGAGAGGCCCCCGCCCTGGCCTCAGAGAGGCGTCTATCCTGTTGCCTGACCTCCGCCGCGACCCGGACCCCCGCCCCGCGCCCGCAGCGCCGTCTCGCAGCGCCGCTTCCCGCTGTGGGGACGGGGCGGGGCGCTCGGCGGCGCCGGGCGCGGGCGGCAGGTTCGCGGGCGGCGGCAGGCACCGGCGCGGGCAGACCCCTCTCGCGCCGCGGCGCGCCGCGCACGCGCGACGATCCCACGCGGTCGCCGTCCTCCCGCCCCGTTCCGCCCCGCTCCGCTCCGCTCCCGGTCGGTCCCGCCGTGCCCCGGAGATGCTGTCGGGGCTGCGCCGCCGCCTCCCCCCCCCAGAAGCGACCCACGGCGGCAGATCCGACGTCGGGCTCTGCAGGAGATCGTCGCCGGGGTAAGCGGGGGCCCGGCGGGGGGGCGGCGGCCGCTCTTCTGCCTCTCCCGCGGCCAGCGGGGCCTGCAGGCAGGGGAAGCGACGGGCAGCTTTCTCGCCTCTGCGGAGAAACTTGCACCTGCGTGCCGCCGCAGGGCCGGGTTCGGATGTGCCCTGGCATTGCACACGCACCACACCCCCCCGCGGGGAGGGTCTGCGCTGCCTCGGGAACCCTGTCTGTGCTGCCGGGAGAGAGAAATCCTTTGGGAAGCTGGGCTGGAAACAGCAACTCTGTGAACTGCTCAGCTTTTCCTAGGCAAGGGCAGGTTTTAGGGAAGAAAGGCCCGGACGCGCGAAAGGCGCCGCGGGTCTCGCCAAGGAGGGGGGGGGGGGCGCGCGGCTGCAGTGCCGCCCCCGGCCGTGTCCGCCAGGCGGCGACTGTGAGGCAGGGCCCGGCGCTCGGGGGCGCTCTGGCAAGCGACGCTTGCCCTGGGAAAGCGGCGGGCTTTGGCCACTGCCGGCCTTCCCCCGCAGTGCCCGGGCTGGCCCAGCGCCTGGCAAAACCTCGTAGGGAAAAGGCAAGCAACACCTGCGGTGGTTCTGCCCTTTCTTTAGCCGGGGACTGCAACACAGACAAAATCAAGGGGCTCTTTGACCTGGGCAGGCTCCCAGCATTTTTCAGCCTTCCTTAGCAGGGCATTCTCACCCTCTGAAAAGCTGAAAGGCTTTAACAGCTGGAGACGCGCCTGCAGCTGTGCAGATTAATGTCCTTTCTTTTAGGAAACGAAGGGGAAGTTTTCCTGTTGTGAGCCTAAATACCGAGTCTACTCTGCTTTTTCAATCAGGTGACGAAGCTTATGGAAAAAAAGACCAAAGGCCTCTAGGTGAGTCCATTCTACCCAGTTCTGCTTTTCTGGGATCGGGTTGGGAAAATCACGTGAAATTCTGAAAAGCTTCTCTCCGTGTTTTCTAGTTGTTTTTTCAGTCTTGGTGTAAGTTTCATGTAGAAAAGGGCATAGAATTGTTAGAACAGAGAAACACGACTTTCTCGGGAGAGATGGAAGAAAAGGCTGCTGATTCCAGTTCTGCTTTTCTTGTCTTCTGTTAGTCTGTCATTTTCTCTCCCCTACTCTTCAAACAGGCAGCAATTAATTGCTCTGCTGAAGAGTTTGCTGTACTAAGTGTCTGTCAAATCGATGCCTTCAACTCAAGATAGCACCTGCGCCTTAGTTACAAAAAGCTCCTCACAGGAAATTTTCAGGCGTGCCCATAAACCTCCTGGCTGTTTGTTTGGGAGTACAGGGTTTTCTCGTCTGTAACAGAATAGTCGTGGCATTTGCTATGGAATGCTGGTGGCAATCTAGTCAGAAGAGGCCCCCGTGCTTCACTAATTTTGCCTTTTTGTTGTTCAGGGTGACTTCTTCCCAGGGATGTTCTTCTTGACCCCCCGGGGCAAACGGAGGTGTCAGCGTCAGGAGCCATCCTAACTGAGGCCCTGGTAGGTCAGTGCTTTTTGTGTGACCGGACGGTGAAGCTGTCTGTGGGAAGGACCTGGCTAGTGCTCGGTGTGGTCCTAATTAAGGTGTCTTTTACTCCGTGTTCCCAGGCTCCCTCTTTCCCTTCGGTCGCCGTGGGTGTGCCGGACGCCGCTGGCAGGACTAACCCCGTGGCTTTTCTGTCCAACGTGCTGTGCTGTGCTGTGTGTGCCTGCAGGTAAGAAAAGCGGGGAGTGCAGTCCCTCTGCTTTGCTCGCTGTGTCTCTTGGGGAGCGATTTTGGAGGGGAATCCCAGAGCGATTCGGTTTGAAGGGGACCTTCAAAGGCCAGCCTGTCTTCCGTGGGCAGGGACACCTTCCACTGTCCCCGGTTGCTGCGAGTCCCGTCCAGCCCGGCCTGGAACACTTGCAGGGATGGGGCAGGCTCAGCTTCCCTGGGCAGTGTGCTCTAATATCTCTCCACTGGCATCCTGAAAAATGTCGTCAGCGTGTTTTGTTGGACGCCGGTAAGCAGGACCCGGGTGAAGAGGACATTCTCTGAGGTGCTGGGAGAAGGAGGACTCGTGCGGGCACCTCCAGAGACAGCGGGAACGGGAGCGTGCTGCGGAGAAGGAAAATTCCAGGGGGTGGGTGCCAGGAAATTTGTCCTTCCCTCGCCCTGTGCTCTGCACTCAGCAATGGGTCAAGTGCAGAAGTTTCCTGGGGACCCTGGGAAATGATGCCGGGTCTGCTAAGAAAAGTGGGGCCAAAGGAGCAGGACCTGGGTCGGCGAGCGTGGGAGAAACAAGGGCCGGGTCATCCTCTGCCTCCGGGAGGGAGGGCAGCAGGAAAGGCCACGGACTAAAGCACTGAAGTGCCGTTCCCCAGGGAGCCCCTGCCCAGCACTGAACTTGCTTGTGCACTTGCTGTCCCTTTCCCAGCGGAGCCGAAGCGTCGGGTGCGGGTGCCGGGGGCATGGAGCTGCCAAGGACAAACTGGGAGGGTGGTTGCGAGGGAAGGGGGGAGAAGGAGCTCTTGACGTGCTTTTTTTCCTTCTTCATCCCACAGAATTGCCACGGGAGGAAATACTTCAGAGGGGCTTCCCTCCGGATAAGCCCTGAATGTGCCAGGAGGTTTCAGCCGGGAGGAAAGGAGCTGTGGAAGAAAAGCAGCCTAAAAATAGCCAGCGGGGATCATCAGGGTTTCCAGCCAAGAAGCACAAGGAGAGAGATGAGGGAATGGGGTTCCAATTCCTAATGATTTGGTGGGTGCAGGAATGATTTGTGTGTGTTTTCCAGTGCCTTTTGATTCCGGAGATGGTTTTAAAATGATGGCTTTAGCAATCAACTAAATCGGAGATGTTGTTTCTGGGAGGAAATGGTGCCAAATAAATGCAGAGTTTTGGGTCAGGTTTTGGGATGATTTGGGTCAGGTTTGGGGGTCAGTTTGGGGTCACTGTTTGGGGTGATTGGGGTCAGTTTTGGGTCAGGTTTTGGGATGATTTGGGTCAGGTTTTGGGGTCAGTTTTGGGTCAGCTTTTGGGGTGATTTGGGTCGGTTTTGGGTCAATTTTTGGGGAGCACTGGGTGTTCCTGGGGGTTGTTGGGGAGCACTGGGTGTTTACTGGGGAGCACTGGGAGAGAAGATGAAAAATAAAGAGAATAAAAAATAAACGAAATAAAAAAATGAAACATAAAAAACAAAAGAAAATTAAAAAAAAAAAAAGGCAAAAAAACTAAAAAGGAAATAAAATGAAAATGAAATAAAAGAGAAAAAAAAAAAAGAAAAAAAAAAAGAAACCCCTTCTTGGGCACCCCGTTTCCTCTCCTCCCGCCCCCCGACCCGTAAATTGCGGGGTCATCACCCCTCAAATGTGAGACGGGGATCCCAAAATGCGGGTGGGGGAACCCCAGGGAGC